CCAGTGATACTTCGCCCAACCACCATGGACGCGCAGTGGCAGCAATACTACTGGAATCATTATTTGATGCAGCAACATCATCAGCAGCTCACCAACCCAGATACCACAACTTCTCCTCCCACCACCGCACACCACGCCTACAGCCCCACAGGCACCTACGGCCCACTCACTCACGCACTTCGTACACACCACGTCCACCACTCCAACCCATATGTGACTCCACCGTACACACCGCCATCGCAGCATACACCCCCACCCCAGGCATCCACCTCCCAGCCGGAGTTTCCACCTCCGCCACCGCCACCCCTGCCAACGGCCGAACCCGTTACTCCACCACCATCGACTTTCCAACACAGCCCACCGCCACCACCCACCACACGTGGCAACACAGCGCCTGCCCCACCGCCCCCACACATTCCATCTCCCACACCACCTGTTCCCGACTCCTGGAACCCAACCGAGCAACATTGGGACTCCAACACCCTGCACGGCCACCAACTACATCGTACAATCCAACCCACCCAGTGGTCTCGAAAAGCAGGAGTGGCCGGACTCCCCACCTTTGAGGTTTTCCCGTGGCAATTGGCTTACCACGGTACCTCCGAGTTCACCGCCCGTACCCTGAGCAACGGCAAATTCACAGGTTTCATGGCCACCAGAAGCATAGCGGAGTCAGTCTTCGTTACCCATTTTCTCCAACAACTCCGCGAGAACCGCCTTGACCTTACCTTGACGGCATCGCGGAGGCTCTCCACACCCAACAGAGCACAGACATTCCCAACAAAACTACCCATGCCCGAGCGTTTCACGCTCCCCTCATCAAACTGCTTATCGACCAACTGCAAACCCACTCTCCAGCACCTGCGGAAGGCTCCGCTCTACGCGCCCTCAAAAACACCAACGACGAACTGGCTCGTGCACGTCAGAAACTCCAAGACCTGGGCAACCCACTCACACCAGTCAAGAACACCAGCCGATCCTCTGCACCAGCCGCCCCTTCCCACGCACCCACGCCACCACCACCGAAACCACCAGCCATCACCGACGTCTTGCAACCACCACACCCCACGCTGCAAGACGACATCCCCGAAGGCTGGAACTACCCAGATATCCAACAATGGGTCACTACCTTTGACCCCGCCATCCAAGAAGCTACGAAGGAAGTCATCCGACTGCTGCAAACAAGCAAAGTCACCACGCAGCAGCTAAAAGAAGCAGCCACCAAGTATGGCCTCCCCCCTTAACCGGGTCAACAGACTCCCCATTCGCAGCCTACAACAGCTGGTGGGAGTCGGCGCAGCCATCGGTTGCTGACTCGCCATCTTGGCCCAGCAGCAACCCAGCCACACCAACCTCACCCAACTCTTCCACCTGCACCGAGCACTTTCCATCCTCATTCACCGCACCCAATACATCGACCGCGCCGAGGCCATCTTTGCAACCGGCCTCATCCACATCACACTTCTTTTCGCATACCCCTCCAACACCCGTCGCTCACAACAGTGGCGCAACCGCCTCCGCCAGCTCCACATTTTACCCCACACCTACCACTACCACAACTTCCTCTCTTCCAATTCCGTCTACATCAAGCTCCACTTCAATCCCGACCAACCCCAACGCTGCTACCATCAACATGGCCACTTCTACGTTGGCTCCACAGCTATCGGCATCCTCCACCGCGAGCACAATCGCCGCGCCAAACTCAAACAACTCCAAAACAACATTCCCATTTCTGCAGAACTCTCCTTACGTTATTGGCATTCACACAACAATATCCACCACTACACCACTATTCAACTCACCTCCCATGACACATACGACCAAGCCTGGATCCAAGAGCACCACTACATCGCCAACTGGATGCCTTCACTCAACTGGCCTTTTATTTCCCACCACCTTAAACTCAAAGCTCAGGGATGGCAGTTCGCGAAACACAGAGCCCACTTCTACTCCAGACTAGCCACCCACAAACGACTTTTCCGACGCCTTCGACAACGCCAGTACACCCTCAGGGAACCACACCTCTACACTTCCACTAAGTATCACGCCCTCCAACTTCTTCGCAACCTTACCAAACACACCACAGCCTCTTTTGAGGCAGCAAAACAGATAAGAAGCGGCCGCCACACGGACCTCGAGGTGTATGCAATCCGGCGTATGGCCGCCAATTTGGAAGAACCTGGCCGCAGCCGAGCTCTTCACATCCTCAACAAAGCCTTGATCTACCGCAACCTCACGCCACCTAAGCCAAACATCCCACTGACAGTGCCCTTCTTGGCCCATGACGACTTCACCAAGCACTGCCAACAATGGCTTCGTACCACCATCCAGCAGCACAAGCATTTCACCATTCCCCTCCACCTCCCCTCCCACAGACTGAGGGAAGCCGCCCACAAAACCCTCCGCTCCCACCTGCACAACCACCGCACATGGGAGGACACCCTCCACTCCCCGCCAGATCCAGCAGACCTCCCCTGTGCATGCGATCACCTTCGCACACTCCTGCAGGATCCCGATACCCCTACCATCAATGGCCACTACATCCTTACACTTGACCAACTCCAACTCCCTACACACCTCAGCATTTTCCTCAACGCCAATATGAACAGCACCTATTACCCAAGCAAAGCTCGGTACTTCCTCATTTTCAAGACTGCCTATACCAAATGGCTCAAACTACAAGGGCTACCACCATCCCTAGTTCAACACCTACAGCCTTTCCTTGAGCACCAATGGCGCCTTCACAACACACACCTCAAGCAGCAACCCCGTTTTACGGCCAGCCTGCTTCGTCAACTCCAAGAACATTTGGGAAAACACACATTACTCCACCACGCCGATCATGAACTCCAACAACTGCGACTTTTTTGCCCTCGCCAATACTTCACTGGCGCCTTCAACACCTGGCAATCCCCTGAACTATTTGAACCACTTCCCTACATCACTGTCGCCAACATCCATGACCACCTAGCCGCCACCGTCCCCCCCATCCTGCGCACCCGCTACAAGTGGGGCTTCCGAAAAGACTTCAACATCCCCTACGGTGTTGTCCACCTTAAAGAGAAGAAGCACTGGCAAAAAGGCCGTACAATTATATCCTACTTCCAATCACTCAGCGGCAACTTGCTACGCATCACCAGCCGTGCCCTCGACATTATCCTCCAACACCTCTACCCTCAGCATCCAGGCCAAATGTCCATTCCACAGCTTTGGCACCACTTTCACAGCTACCTCACCCAAACCCCACCCGACATCTCACTACACGCCACCAATGATGACCTGGTCGGCTTTTTCAACTCCGTCCCCCAGCACCGACTCATCGATGCAGTCCACTCCCTTGTTCTCCACTGGCAACAACAGCAATCCACACACACCTTAACGGTGGATGTCCAGGCCACCGGCAATCCGTTCCACCACTCCCACATTGGCAGACACCATCGAAAACACCCTACCCAACGCACCATCCAGACTTCCGACATCACCACCATTGTGGCTTTTGCCCTCGACACATGCATTTTCCGGGCCTGCAACAACACTTACAAACAAATCCGAGGGGCCGGGATTGGATCCCAGCTCTCTCCAGCCCTATGCAATGTTGCCATCACCCTCATTGAGCATTCATGGCATCAGATCCACAACAACCTCCTTCAACACACAGACCTCCACTTTACTTACTACCGGTATGTCGACAACCGTTTCATTGTCCACAACGAACATTTCCTCCAACACCCGGCTATCCAAACCCTCATCCACCACAATTTCTTTGGCGACCCTGTGGAACTTGAACCGGTGGAGGATTTTCATCTCCTCGGTTTCAACATCGACCTCCCACAACGCACTATCACCTACATGCAACCTTCTCAACCCTGGAAAATCCGGGACTCCACAACCGCCGGGAGCCAGCGCTTGGCTCTATCAGGCCTCCAATCACGACTTCACACCATTCGAAAATACACATTTCCACCCTCCAGCGCTGACGTTGCTGCGGCTGAACTCGTGAACCTATATGTCCAAAAGGGGCATAACTACCACGCTTGCCACCGGTTTTTGAAAAAAGCGCCGAATGCGGCGACCTGTGTGTGTCCCACCCTGGACAAAGGGTCTTACACCACCACTCTTCCCATTCTACACAGGCAGGGGGCAGTGACAGAGTTTGTGGAATCACTGCCAACGAAGACGTCCACATTCTCTGGTGATGCATCGGGAGACGTCCTGATGTGTACCTGCTTCAACTTTTGAACACGCTGTCCAATCTTTTGGTTTGATTCATGGTGGTTCCACACGATACTTTCCCCACAAACAGGTTTCCCACTGCACTGCAGCTGCTGACCGCCGCTTCCACTTGCGCTTGTCGTGAAACCTGTGTTAAACAATACAGTTTAAGCTGACCTTTCCACCTTGCCGTTCCATCGCCTTCCTTCCCATTGAGACAATTGCGTTAACTGAAAAACCCAAGTTCGAAGTGTGTGTCAGTGTGAGTGTCGAAGTGTAAGTGTCGAAGTGTCAGTGTTCAAAGGATTTTCCGGAAGAACCCTTCGCAATGCTTTCGGGAATTACGGGTTTGAAACACGCATGTGTGCAAGAAAACATGTGTGCGCAACACAGCACGCTTCGTGTATACAATTGGTGCGCCCTAAGAGTTTCCTTGGTACGGGTGTGCAATTTGAACATATTTGAACCGAACGTTAAGATCCCACCCCGCCCCTCCCAACCCCACCCCACTCTCAGTCACTCGTATTGTGCGCGTAGCGTAGAAAGGTTTCGGCTGTATGGGTGTGCAAATTGAACCGAACGTTAACATCCCAACCCCACCCGCCACCGCACATGCTATGATGTGCATGACGGACACGAATGTCAAAAAAACCTGTAAATACCACACGAAACTAGAAAGTGCCGCAAATACCGCACAAAATCATGTGCAAACGCTCAAAAACAGACCCAGACCCCGATTGGGCCCGGACAGATGTCCAGGTCGCGTCGTGAAAGCCTGACGGTCTCAGGTTGCGGTTGCCCATTACCGACAAAGCCGATGTCTGGGGCCAAGCGGTCGCCCTCTTGGAGCTCTACTCGGGCCGCGCCTCGGTCCGATCGGCCGAACGGCGGCGGCGGAACGGGGAGTGGCGGTCGGGAATGGCAGTTCTAGGGTCCCTTTTCGAGTCCTATAGGGCACTGAAGATACTGAAGTCCAAAGGTTGAGCAGTACGAGCCTGCAGATTTTGGAGCCTCAACAGTGTGTAACTGGGGTCTCTGGAACCAACTTCAAGTAGCTCTAGAAAATGGGACATGACCCTACAAAAAGAAGGTATACTTGTACCAATTTTTTTTCGAAGTACCAGCAGTTGGGTCCCAAGTCGACCTTTTACGAACCCTCTTTGTTGGCATATATCACTTCGGGTACGACACCAAATGAGAGCGGTTGCCGTGTCAAGGCCAGGAACCGGTTCCAGGAACCGGTTCCGGGTGGCGAAACGAGAACCGACTGGAGCGGGTCGACTGCAGATGGGAATTGTACGATCTGAAGATCACTTAGACGTAGCTTCAAGTCGTTTGGGTATGGCAGATGTGCCAACCACAAGTTCGAAAAGAACCATCGAATCACATGCGCATGAGTGCCGTGACCCGTGGCCAGCAGCCGGTTTTTGCCCTCCACCGAGGCAACATGTGGAACGAAGAAGAAGACACGGCAGCTTGGACCGATTGGCAGCCGTCGACGCTGTCAGCCTCCCGTTAGGCCCGTTAAGGGCGAGCCCGGGGCCACATCTGAACAGGTGAAGATGATGTGGGACGGTGAGGATGTGGATGCTTTGTGGGGTTTGTTCTAACTAGCTTTTGAGGATGGAGCCATAAAGCCCTTTGGGTCTGATCAGCCAAGATAGGGTTGGTGCTGCTGTCTAGTCTACTTTAATTTATACAGTACGGAGACTATGGGAACTAAGTCTATCATTCTGCACAGTGTAAGACTTACCAAAATGCCCTGTATCATAATTTCTATTTTATTATATAAAAATACACTATGGGACTATGGAACAGTTGTCCATCATGTTTCATCTTTATATAACTGTATACTCAGTCTTAGGAAGCTCTACCTGGACCCAAGTTCAAGTATCCATGACAATTCTACATGACCCAATACAACAAAAACAGGTAGGACTGGTATACGACTGTATCCAATATTCCGAGGAACCAACGAAGGGTCCAGGTATACATGCAGTGTCATTTCGGAGATTGCATTTCGGAGATCAGATCAACGGGTCTGGTTCAATGGGACCTATCATCGGGCCCCTAGACTACAGTGACTGATTCGGGAGAAGAAGCAAAAACATATATGGTCGACGACAGTGGACTTAATCTCTCGTGAAAGAGGAGTTCTTGAGCGTTAACTGGTTGCTCCTGATCCTTGCAAGACTCCATGCTCAGGTGGAGTACATGTTGGCGCAAGCTTTGGGATTAGTCAATCAGAAGGTGGGCACATCGGTGGTGCAGATCTCCATCGCCGTCGTTTTCTCGATCAAACACATCCTAGTTCATGGTCTAGGATATGTTTATTTAGCCGCTCCGCTCACCGCGTCGGCGGATTTTCAACCTTTACTTGGGATGATTGAACCCACTATCCAAAGGAACTATCCATGACGACTATCGAACTTTCACAGGGTTTCACAGGGCACAATGAGCTTAGTCCACGCTGGGTGACGGGGGGCTTCAAGTGACTCGCGGGTTCTCTCGATGAGGGGTTTCTTTATTTCCCTAGAGACGTCCAACCACTATAGTGATTGAATGGTTCGATACAGAACCATCGTTGTCAAAATAAGGATGTTACACTAAGACACCAGCTCAACCATTTTTAACTTATAGTCTTGGAAGGCCATTGGCTTCCCAGATACCCAAAGATACCAGGACCCTCCAAGGGGCGTCTATAAACAGCCTCTTAGAGGTGATTCGGGGTGTCCAAAAACCACCAGACTTGAAGGTCCTGGTTTACACAACATTAGAATATATAGATATATTATGTATAATTGTATATAATCTATAATATTAACATAGAACTGCATGCACTCGTTCAAGATACCCAGACACTCCATGTATGCCATATTTGCCTACATTGGGGTCGTTTCAGGGGTCAATGCAGGTAAATATTCCACACATGGAGTGTCTGGGATCTGGTGGGTTTCACATAATTTCACGGCTGAAAGCTGGGTACTTGAACGATGATGTAATTTTAACGGGATCATTGAACATAAACAACACTGAGTCTTTTTATTGCTCGCGTGGCTTGCACTTGGGTTGGTGGCCATTTCAAGAGAAAGTGGTGCTTTGGGATGCTTTTGGTGAAAAGGAACTTCGCGTCAGTCTCATACTCCTTCTATCTGACCTCTATGCGGCCAACAGGTGTACCTGGACCCTCAAAGTACCTTGGAAAATACGGTCATACATAGTCATACCATGTCATACCTGTTCTTGCTTCGGGTCATGTCCCATTGACCTTCGGGTACGAACGGTCCGTTGGGTCCAGAACGACGTCCAGAGTTGCAAGCCGTCCATCCCACAGGCCGGCTTGCCGGAGAAGCTTCTGCGGCGAAGTCCGCTCGACATCCGACGCCTGACCGGAGCAGACGGAGCAGACGAGACGCGTCGTCGGTGCGTTGGGTGTGTAGCAGCGCGCAGCATGGAGCAGTGTTCGGGAATTTGAAGGTTAAGGCACCTTTCCCTCAAAAAAGCCCTTTCACCTTCTCAGAAAAAAAAGATGGTTGGACCCTCCAAGAGCGAGCGCCCAGAATGCATTAAGTGGCGAACACTGCTCGGTCAGAAAACCCTCTCAGAGGGTGCCGTTGTGGATCCAAGGTGTGAAAGTGCTTGTTGTCTTCCTGGTGGCTCTCGTCACCTGTGGGACAGTCCAGAGTCGGACTCCCCCGCCCTATCCGCCCTTGGCTGTCGCCTAGGCTGGCAGCTAGACCCACTTACCTCCCGAGAAGGCAATGTTTATATAGAGTTCAGGACCTGTTTTGGTTGTATTTTTTGATGTCAAATCCTCAGTCAAACAGGGGTTCGCTTGTAAAAAACATTAAATCAATGGTGGTTGGAATCCTAGGCTAGAGCAAGCAAGGGCCATGTTAGGCGGACACATGAACCAAGGGGAGGGATCCAGGCAAACTCCTCGTAGCTCGAACCTGCAGTCCCAGTCCAGATGGACGAAAACCATCGCCCGAACGAGGGCCCCTGGTTTCTATGAGCCACTCCATGTGTGGAATATTTACCTACATTGACCCCTGAAACGACCACAATGTAGGCAAATATGGCATACATGGAGTGTATACAGTGGCTGTTTGTGATCGATTTGAGACAATGTTCAGCCTTTGGCAAGATTGGTGACCCTTTCAGACTTTCCTCCCGCTGCTGTTGAGTGGATTGTTTTCCTGAGCTGAAGTTTGGAAATGCCCTTGTGCATGTGGTGCCTGTGGTTCTTGCAATTGAATAGTTTCTTGACATTTGTGTCGGAGGAGCACACCGACAAGAATTTAGTCAAAATCCCACAGCCAGGGTCCAGAAATCCAGGAGCTATATATATATTACTATATATATATAGTTAACAATCGAATGTATGGAATATTCACCTACATTGACCCTTAAAACATCTTGAAATCACCTCAATTAAATGTAGGCAATTCTTCCATGGGGTTGTTAGGGATAGGCGATGGGTCAAGACCTTGCAAAACAGATGGATCAGTCCACGGTCATGTTGTTCAGCTGGCAACCCGGAACCGGGAAGCCGACTGGGGGGTTCACCAGCTCAGACCGTCCACTGGACTCCCAGGGGTCCATCCATGTATGGAATACCGATCAGGCCAGCGGTGGCTTCGGGATCGCATATATATATATATATATTGATGGAGTGTTTGGGATGGATACCCAGGGGTAACAGGGTCCGAACGTAACGCCGTAACAGTTAGTAAACAAGGATCACTATTAAACAGGCCTTTACTCATCATCAGCATCCACCGTTACTGGTACATTTGGATAGACCCAACCCATGGTATCTTCAGATCGATGCTTCCTGCTTTCTCCACTGGCCGCACGCATCTTCATGTCCCAAGGGCAGCTTTATACGCCTTCCCCTGCCTACTTTCCCGTGCAACGCATGGGCGTGGCTCCTCACGTGCGCTTCAAGGCGCAGAATCCGGATTGGAATCGTTATACTCTTCATTGACCCTCAAAACATCTTGAAACACAAGGCAACTGATGGGTCAATATTCCATGGATTGTTTGGGGTTTTGACATCAGTTGTGTGGGCTGCGGGCTGTGGTGGGATATGCCGTGACTCCCGGGCGGATTTTCGGGTCATTGAAACGGATTTTTTGGAGGGGGTCTCTACTCATTTGCAAGACGATGAAGCGAAACCTGTTATGGTTTCTCTGTACATGGTGCTTTTCTGTCTTACGTCAACTTCATCGAAGTCCACCAGCATGAATGGGCGTGAATCTCGACCAACCTTTATTTGATCGCCTTTCCCTAGCCTTTCAAGACCATTAAGAGACTGGTGGTTGACCTGGTTTTGTAGTCTAAACTCTAAACTCCTCAGTATAACAACTGTTGTTTGGTGAACATCCTTAAACATCAAGGGTCGTTGGGTAGTTGGACTGTAGACCTTGAAACCATGCAACATGTTTGCCTCGACTGGCTGGCTTTTTTTAATGTGAAAAGGCATACATGTAGCACAGTTGGATGATCCAGTTATGTTATCCGTATGGATCCACATACCTTCTGAGAAGGTGATTGGAGACTATTGATTCGCCAGGAGGGCCCAAATTCTTCTGGGAAGGTATGTGGATCCATAGGGCCTAGGGTCTTGTTTTACAGATCTTAGATGACCAGTGGACCTCTGAAGATCTTAGGGAATGGGTGGACCACAGGGCATTCTCTGGCCCTGTGGATCCACACATATTGAGAAGGGGGGCCCGTTGGACATATATAGGTACTATAGATTCAATGATTGGAATCCCGAAGGACTCCAGCTGTTTTCAAGGACGTTGCGCTACCAAACCAGCTCACTATGTGTGGATTCCAACCATTGAATCAATGGTCGATAGTGAGGAAGCGCCCAATCACCTTCTGTCACCTTCTCAAGCGTCTCTGAAATGGTCGAACGGAAGGCGAAGGCATTTTTAAAAGGCACAGAGGTACGTTTGGTGCGTAACGTACCTCAGAAACGAGCTATCACCGGTTCTTCGTACCGTCGTCAAGGGGCCGAACTTCCTCGGTTCGGTTTTCATGTTTCTGTCCTAGGCGACGCCCGGTCGACCAGACCATTGAGCCATACCCAGACACGACCCTAATGGGACTGCCATATATGCCGATCAGTTGGGGTGGTTGACTGGGGGTCAATGGGACGGCATTATATATGGCAGTCCCATTAGTCGTGTCTGGGATACACTCTGTGGAACCGAGACCCGAACCGAGAAGTGGACCACGTCTTCCATGACTCTTCGGAACATCGTCTGACTCGGCATGCCGTTCCAGGTCTCAAATACCGGGTATGGGTCCATGTAACATATGGATCCAGTACCTGGGACCAGACGGAACCGAAAATGGGACGTTTGACCCACACAACTGACGCAAGACCCATGGGTCCGTAGTTAACTAAGTTGGTTCCTGGTAGTCTCATGGGTGGTCTAGGAAGGTATTTGGATGTCAGCGAGGGGGTCAGCGAGACGGTTCGCATGCCTACCGGGCCTCGCGTTTGATCCGCGCATGCAGAGGCTGATCATGACAGGGGAAAAGCATGCTGTCGTGTACCACGGAGTTTCTCGTACAGTAGCCCATTAGAACAGTAGGAGAAAGCTTAACATTTAGGTCAAACAATTGATCGTTGACCCTTTCATATGTCTTCGGGAAGGTATAGCTTGGTGCGACTGAAGGTCCAAAGTGGCAGGCAAGCCCATGAAGTGGCACTTTTCTTTTTGGAAAGCGACCAACATTACACCCAACGACAGAAACGATTTGAGCTTCACTAAAAACGACGACACTGTTAATACCCAACTGTGCAAAATGAACATGTATTCCTTTTCAATCCTTTTCATTTATTTACCAGCTGAGGCAGAATAGATTATTAATAGTTAGAAGATCTAGGCATATATTCGCCTTAACATTCCCCCCCAACCCATGGTTGATTGGCAAAGAACAGATCATCAAAACCATGGCTACTTCGAATCAACACCGGATCCGCAGCCGGGTGCCCTGCGTTACCGCGCGGATGCGCCCAGACCCACCCCTCCGCGGGGATGCGCGCCGCCTTTCCAGGAGCTTCGACCCGCGACTTGGGGCCTGTCCTGCATCCTGGGTGATGAGACCAAGTGGGACAAGACCAAGAGCCTAGGCCGATGTCGTTGGCTCGGATCTAGGCGATAGGTCTACCCCACTCCAGGACCCCCAAGCATACCAAGCTTGGTAGGGTGTAGCCCATGACCAGTAACAGTCAGTTATCAAGCAAATCCACTATTTTTGGACAACGCCTCTACTAATCATCATCATCATCATCATCATCATCATCATCATCATCATCCACTGTTACTGGTAATGGGATAGACCCAACCAATAGGTTGATGATGGTTTATGGTTTCCGTCATATCGACCCCGCGGATTCTCTCTCCGTTCATACCGGACTCATGGGATGACTGACCGACCACTCAACCACTTCAACAGTCGGTGGGGAGCGATCCTGGGGAGCCGACTCTCCTCTCCGGGTTTGAAGAGATGGGGTATGTGTCTTTTCCGGAGGGCTCCAAGCATCACCGGGAGCACATTGGTGTACATCGGTTGTTATGGCTTGTTTTCCCATTGATGTGTCTTTTCCGCCCTAAGAATCCTTGGGCTCGACCTCTTGGCAGGGGTCGGACCTGACATCTTCGCAGGGGTCCGGGCCCGAACCAAACCCGGTGTGTGTTGAGGGTCTGGATTCTTAGGGCAGAGAACAAACATCACCGGGAGCTGGGGTGTACATCGGTTGTTATGCTTTTTTTACAGGTTTCGTGGGGAAGTATATGAACTGAGGATTGGATTGGTCGGACTGAGTGGGAGCTGGATGGGAGCTGGGGTGATGTGTTTGTTTCCGGTTCCTTACTTAAGCAAATCCGGATGCTCCACTCTCACTCCAGTCGAGTTGCTCCAGTATGCTCCAGTCTTAGGATCGACGGTTCATCGCTCGTGGTAAACCGACTCGTCGCTCGGTGAGCCTAGGCTTGATGGGTTCAGGGTCCAGTTCATGTGGTGTCCTGTTGTTTTGTTTTCGTACAGTATTTCTGAAAAGTGTGGTGTCTTTCTTTGGCAAACAAGCTTGGGGACACTTTTTCTTCATTTAAACTGCAGCATTCAAACCATCCAGCGAGCATCAACGTTGAGGCACCTCAAAAAACTGGCTCCCATAATCCGGCCAGTCTCATAGTGGATCTTAGTCCCATCCGGGATCCAGAAGGTACGACTGGAAACTCCAAACCTACATAAGGAACAGTGTCTCCAATCACCGAACTGACAAGGTACGACTGGATGCGCAAGCACCTGCTCCGTGCGCCGGCGCGTGCCGGCGCGTCTCCTCGCGCCTTTGCTGAGGAAACAACTTGCAGACTATGTGCTGAAAGCCATGGCGCTGGTGACTTGGTCGAAGCTGGTCGAGCGGGTCGACAGGTCGCTCTTCCCTCAGGTCGACAGGATTTGGCCCACCTAATCGTCTGAATCCCAAAGAACACGTTGTTTTGTGAAAGGATTGTTTTATGCTACAAAACGAGGTTGACCATTTTGTCAATAGTCTTGGAAAGCTAGGCTAGGGTTCCTGAACTTGGGAAATCCACACAGTGCGTGCCCAAAATCCAGTTCCCGAAGATACCTGACCCATCCTGACCCAGAATCCGATGAGTTCACAGACATCTCACGGGGATTGGTGAGAAACCACACCCCCCAGATTGGCTAGTTCGGGTCAGACCCCTACTGTTCTTGGAACATATCGGAAAATCAAGATTTTGCGTCAGGGCAAGAGATGTCATCCCCCAAAAAATAAATAGTCTTTGATCCGGCCGAGATGTCGATTTGCACCGTTTTCACTGTTCCATTCAGGGTCGCGGTTGCGGAGGCAGCGAACCGGTTAGGCCTTTCAGACTCCGTCCCCCAAAACAGAGGCCGCAAGACCCCACCAATTGGGGTCCCCGACCCACACCATCCATGCCATCCAGGGCCTAGATACAGGTCGAAACATTGGTGACCTGACAGGTCTCGGATGCTGGTGAATGGCCTATTGACGGCCTATTCATCTACATTGGTGCAGTTGAACAAGGGGCGAATTGGGCAGCATATCTTCATATATCTTCCATACCAGCATCCTCACTGCCAGGTCACCACCTGCCACCTGCCACTTTTAAGTCTCCATGTTGTTTCTTCATTTGGTTGATGTCCCAGTTTAATTCCATACCTGTACCCTGCCCAGAAACCACCTGTGGTCGGGTCTCCTAACAGCCTGTAGAGTCAGGTCCTGGTACATGGATGGTCTTGGGTGATGGCCCATGGTCCCATGCTGGGTGCCTTTTGAATGATCAAACAGAAGCACACTGAGGACGTTGCAGGTAGATTCAAAACATGGCTGGTCTTGGGTTCCTGGGTACCTTGGCATCCTCCTTCTTCGGACGAAGCAAGGACCCCGAGGATCGCCCTCATGCCGTGGACTTGCCACTTGGGGCGACGGGTGGACCGACGGGTGGACTGACGGGTCAAGCGAGTGTGGACGCGTCAAAAGCAGGACCGTTGAGCATCTAAGAGGTTGGTATACGGTAGACTCTTGAGTTCATAACGCCCCTCCATTTGAATGGATAACCATCTTCATACATGTAAGTTGTCTTTTTTAATCAAAATCAAGCGAGATATCAAGAGTCTATACATTACACTCCGAAATCATCACATGGAAGTGGCAACTACCGGGCACCTTGTCTTCGGAATATCCTCTTCCCAGGGGTCAGGTTTCCATTTTTGGGGTAGCTTTGGTTCATAGACCCCGAACATGCTCATTGTAAGCTCATTGTGTATAGGGGCATTTAGTATAGAATAGTATAGACTATAAAGAGCATTGGTGGCAAATCCTTTCTTTTGATGTGATTTTCATGGTCTTTCATGTTTTCCCGTTCGCACTGGTCGTACTTTAGGCTAGTTTAGCACTTTACCAGAAATATGCTGAGGCGTTCTAGGTCCTCAGAACTCGAACTGCCACTTCAATTCGATGATGGCACGTCCACACAAGAAAAAAGGGTTGTGCATTGAATTGACCAATCCTAGTTTTGCTTTATGTTCCCTTTGGGTAAATCCATATAAATCCCCTTCTAGGATGTGTGCGTGTCTATTTTTTCCAAGTTCCTTAAGCACATTCAAGCAATGCAAAGAGGATGGAACATGCAACAACTACCAGCATCATATACTACTAGTATCCTGGAAGTCTAGTCCAGCATTTTTGACTATACAGCTGACTTCAGTTCAGGAATTTCCTGAACACTTTGTGGTGCCAAATATTGTCTTTCACTGGTCTTCTAGGGTCGCCTGCAAGTCCGAGTTTCTATTTGGATCATTGTGGATCGATGTTTGCGTGCTCCAGTCAGTTGGTTCTTGAAGACTTGAGAAATGATGAGGAAATTGGTCCAGCCATACACCTGGACCCGGCGCTCGAAGTACCATGAAGTACCCAAACGAAAGTGGAAGCTATGACCCTGGGAGGAAAACAGCCGAGTACCTGGGGCCCCAGTACTTCCGAGGTACCTGTCTCCAGTACTTCCGAGTGAATGAGAGTTTTAGTCACAGGCCAACGCCCAGACTGTGATCTGTGATGAACGCTAGACATGTTCATCCTTTTTCCCGCATCCACATACCCTCTCACAACGTGATTGGAGGCTCTATTATGCAGGCTTGGAGGGTCCAGTCGTACCTTCTGAGAAGGAATGTGGATCCCAAATTTGGGATCCCAAATTTGGTTTGGAGTTGATACAGGTTTACTGATGAAGTTTCAGAATTAAGTAGCAATGAAGGTTGTTCATGCTTTGATCAATATGAACGGAAGGAACTGATCGGAACAATCCAATGGCGGATGTTTGGTTGAAACCCAGCTGAAGACGCTGAAGATATATGCGCAATGAAGTTGGAACAGGTCTAGAGTCCCGGGTCTAGGCGTACCTTTACTATTTACCCTGGAGGATTCCAATCACCATTGATTTCATGCTTCTTGTCCGAACAACCAGTGTAGTACTAACATCCTCAACCACCAGCCTCTAACATGTCTCCTCTGGAGATTGTTTAAGCTTCACTTAAGGATTGTGACCTCTTGCAGGCAAGACAAAACTGACAAAACTTCAGTATTTTTTTTCGATTCGTGGCATCTGTGGGGATTCCGAACCTCTGAGGGGATTCCGAACCTCTGTGGGGATTCCGAACCTCTGAGGATGCCTCATGACTTCATCAACTTTGAAGTTGAGGATCAAGTCCCAGGTGAGTCCTGCCATCCGTGGACGAGCTTGAGACATGCCATCCGGGGAGATCAAGGAAGACGAAGTCAGCCTCTCAACATTAGTGCCTTCCAAGACTACAGTATTCATGTTTTCTTTAAATGGTTGACATGGTTTGGTAGTGTAAGATCCTTAGTAAGACAGTATTATGGTTGTTTGGTATTTGTTTGGTAAAGACTCTAAAGACTCTTAAAACTAGGCCAGGAATCCTGGGGTATAAGCTTGGTGGTGGCGATGCTTGGAGATTGCTGAGCGGATGATGTGTGCAGTTTTCGCATGCTTGCCATGTATGTCCCACGTTCCTTAATCAAATCCCCACAGGTCCAAAAACCCAGTAAAATCTGGTCCTTTACCTCATTGAGCTCGTGGTGTTTTTGTATGGGCAACTCCAGTAAACTGAGGTCTTTGACCTGTAGGGAATGAAAGAATCTTTAATTTGCCCTTTCAGAAAGGCTCCTTGACTTCAAATCTGCAAAAACCCTGAGGACACCCCGCTAAAATCCAACAGGTGGAGAGTTGTGTTAGATCTCCAGCATTGAATGGGGGTTAGCTTCATAGGTCGGGGTTGTTCTAAAACCCCTTGCGTAAAGCCAGGGTTTGAAAAAGACTTGCAAAAAAGAAAAGTCGTTTGTTGTGTGTGTGTGTGTCACCCCCTGTGCCAAAGGGTTCAATGCCACTGTTTTC